GAGCGCGCGCGCCGCAAGGAGGCCGCCGTGAGCGAGGTGCGCCCGGGGCCGCCCCGTCCCCCTGGCGCCGGGGCCGGAGCGGAGCCCCGCACATGACCCCCTCGTGCTGTCCCCCTGCCCAGGCGCGCGTGGAGAACATCAAGCTGCGGCACGAGATCCAGCGGCTGGGGGGGGCCCCCCGCGCGCGCGGGGAGGGCGCGCAGGGCGTGCAGTTCATCGACTTCGAGCAGCTCAAGAAGGAGAACGAGAAGCACAGCGAGAAGCTGGACGACCTCGGCGAGGAGCTGCAGAAGCTGCAGAGGAAGATCGCGACCGCGGTGCACATTCTGAGCCAGTTCAAGGAGAAGCTGCAGTTTGTGGAGGCCGAGAACCAGGGCCGGAGGGCCGAGCTGCGGGGCCTGGAGGCCGCGCTGGCGCAGAAGAGGGACGTGCTGACGCGCACCAAGCAGAGCCGGGACCGGCTGCGGCTGGACAACGCGCGGCTGCAGCAGCAGTGCGGGCTGCTCGGCCGCCAGACGCTGCTGCGCGACTTCCAGGAGAAGGTGGAGGCCGCCGAGCTGCTGCGGCAGCGCCTGGAGACGCTCAAGCGGCACCACGCGGGGCTGCTCCTCACGTGCAGGGCGATGCAGAAGAAAACCAAGGAAGCCAAGTCCTTTCTACCTTCCTCAGGCTGACGCAGGAAAGGAGAGCGCGAGAGAGGCCTACACCAAGGAGGGTTGGGCTTCATTTGAAGGTCCCCGGGGTGCGTTACATGTTCTGCTAATGGTCTGCCCTAAACTCCACCTCAGCACTAAGCATTGAGCAGTGGAGTTGCACATTATGAATGAAGCCACAGCTACTGTTACCTGAGGATAAACTCATTAAAAAACACCACTGATTCTAGATAAGAGCATGAAGGTTTTGTCTCATTTTTGGCAGTCTAAGCAGGGGTAGTGAGGACCCCTATGTAAGTGTTCAAAGGCAGTGAATGGCACCCAGCCCCACCAGCAAAGAGCAGGAATTTACACCTTTGGGGCTTTTTTTTTTTTTTCTCCTCTACAGCAGGTCAGAATTGCAGCCTGCAGGATGAGCACTGGCAAGCTGGGGTTCAGTGATTGGTTTAGTTCTGAAGTGGCACATATATTTAAAAAAAAAAATGTGAACCTTATATGGGGGTAAAAGTAGATAAACTTATATAAAGACATTTCCGGGAATGCTTTGCACTGTTCTTTCTTTTAAATGATCTCTGCACTAGGTTTTATGAAGTGCCTGGTTATTTGAAGGATACAATTAAAATAGGTATTACGCTAATTGAGAGCTTAAATCTTTTATCACAGTGGAATGGCAGTATCTGAAGAGATGAATCATTTCTTATTCTTCCTGCAATCATAGAATAGCAATTGAATGTATTCTTCTGAGGCCCTTAGTTTCGCAGATGATCACAGCAAGTGAAACAGCTGACACTCCTGTTCCACAAACAGCTCGGGTTCTGTCTTGGGTAGCTCCCAAGCTCATGAAGAAAGGTTACAAAACTAATATTCAAAAAGTTTTTACTAAATACCAGTAAGTCTTCCTCTATCTGCTGCTGGATGAGGAAGGAGACAAGCTCAACTGCAAACAAGTCACCTCCCTTTAAAAAGAATGAAATTACTCTCATCCGTTTTGACTTTTACTAATCATTCCTGCCAGGGAAATTCTCTTTGCAGTTCCTTTTACTTTTGATTTAAGAAGCCTTTCCTTGACTTCTTAAAACCTTATTAAACAAGTGTGAAAGGGTGAAGGGAGTGAGGAGCATGCAAGGCAATTGCAGATGCTTTTCATGTCTGGAAGAGGCAAGACTTGTGGTTGCCAGTGATATTCATAGCATGTTCCATGTCCCTGACCCAAATATTTCTACTGAAACAAGTACCAGGGAGGCATCGTTTACTCGATACGCTGGAAGCCTCCACGCTTCCCTTCCCAGCACTGAGCGGTTGAGACAACCTGGGGTTATTCCAGTGCTCCAAAGATGCAAGGATCACAGATTCCTCCATTTTCTCCCATAAATGCAGGAAGACATTTCACTGGGAAATGGTGAAGTGAGGAAAAATATCTCGCTCGTTTTCAAGCAGCCCAGAATTAGCACAGGGAAAACTCAAGGAAAAGTAAACCTAGTTTTGAGCAATTTATGCAACTTCTGTAGTACGTGCAATATAGAGATCAATGAAGTTGCTGTAAGCTTACACAAAGCAATGCTGATTTTATGCTCTAACCAAACAAACCCAACTAGGGCCTAAGAGTACAAAGTAGGTGGTTACCTGAGACCAGAACAGGACCCGTGAAGTCTTGGCTTTTGCCACGCACTTCTGCTGTGTCGCTCTTGTCTCCTTGTCCCGGGCTTTTATCTACCTGGCATCTGCACTTGGTATTTTAACCCCTCTTGAGCTCACTGGGAGGCAGGAAGTTTCTCCATTGCATCCCCAGTGTTGTACATCCACACGAGAATGAGAACTGCTGTAGGGACTGGGCACAGCAATGCCTTGTAATTATGAAGCCTACAATGAGCCACGATTTCTTCCTGGAAAACAAAGGAAAGTTAAGATATTCAGCTATTCCAGACTTCTGTGGGTGTCACAACTATCTCAATGCACACTAGCGTTGATTATTATTATATTTGCATTAATCTGTCGTAATCTTATCACTAAGATTAAAACCTAGCCCAGAGAAAGATACATGAGATCTTGGGAAGTGTCACCAGAAAAAATCCTCTCGCCACAACATTTAAGTGCCTTGAAAGCCCAGGACTTTGGGCAGACAAAGTTACTAAGAAGCCTGTGAACAGACACAGATGCTTCAATTTTTGAATTACACTGACAAGAAGTGATTAAGATAACTTTACATGACTTTATTTAATAAAACCATATATTTACAATTGAAAAAAGTTCCAGTTTGATACACGTATCTAAACAAATCAATAACTACATAAAAACAATTTAAACATGATGTACAGGGGATGTATCAACAGTTCTCTACATGTCATCCTAGTTTTTATAACATTCAAAAATAAGCTGTTATAAAGTACCTTTCAGAATGAAATTCTTTACTAAGTGACATTAAGTGACATATTTTAATGATCAACTGCTGACTGGAGTTGCAAAACAGCTTTATAATAAAGTGCAAGTTGCACAGAATTCAAACCTGGTTGGAGTTTTCTGGTTTCTCTATCTGCTGCATGTGCAGTGATAGCTGCAGATTTCTGATCATTACAGCATTTTTTCCTTTAAATCGATGATGAGATGAAAAGTTTGCTTGATGGAGACACTTGCTGAATGAGGGAAAATCTCACGCATCATGTTACAGATACTCTCAAGCACCTGAACAATGAAATTGTCAAAAACTTTTATGCAATCCCTGAATTTATTACAGAAACCTTTAATAGCTAATCAAGAGATTTGGTATGTTGTGTGAAACTTAAAAAGCTTAGTGGCAAGTAATTCTATGCCATTGCTGTACATCTCTGTTTTTATCAAAAATTCAAGCTTATCTTCAAATCAAGTTACCGAAATGGAAACAATTGCATCTTTAGGCAGGTTTGTGGTTTTTTTCTTTAAATGCATTTTGTTTGAAAACAAACTGTGCAAAGCTCCTTATTGCATTGCTTTTCTTCATTAAAGAACATACCTTATATACACAAAGAAATCACTTAGAAAATATATACATCTTCTAAGAACAGAAAGATCAAATCACAGAACAAAAATAAGTACATTTGCAAGTAACAACAGTGCACAAGTGCTGCAGCAGGCCTTTTTCCACAACTTAGCCCATTTTCAGTGTTACATTCAACATTTTGTTGAGAAGAGAAAAAGGAGAACCACTGGAGAGGGCTGCAGGGCTGACACAGAGTGGCTGAAGAACGTTTTCTAACAGGACAAGAGAGCCAGGCATGTTGGAGACTTGGTTTAATTGAAATGGACACCTCGCTGCAATGAGGACTCGCAGTACAAAGCCAGCTATGGTAGCAGGGAACAAATGTACACTGAGGAAAAGCTGTCTGGATGCTTAATAAACCATCTAAAAGTATAGTGCAAATGTTTCAGATGTTAGGCCTCTCACAGCCTTCATGAAAAGGCATGTTTGTTGTAGTAATAGAAAATGCAATGATAAAAACAAGCAAACAGAAACACCTGCTGACCGTGCAGCTTCCTATTGCACTTCCAAGCATGTAGTATGCAAGTACCAGTCACCAAAGATCTATCCAAGTTCTGGGAGAATCGGGATGCATCCAGAGCAACATTTTGAAGTCCCTTTTCAGTGAGGCTGAGAAGAGGCTGCCGGGGGAATTAAGATGGCTAAAAAAATCCCCCCTTCACTAGGTACACAAAGCGGACATGAAAGAGGCCAGTGAGGTAACAGACTCACAGGCTGCATTTGCATCACAGAGCTCTCCCAGGGACAGGGTCCTCCAGCACCTGAAGGAATTATTTCACAGGTCAACCCTGTGGATATTACAGTGCAGGTACTGCTCAGAGAAATTATGTTCTCATACTTAAGGACAGTGCTTTGAGTATGTCCCAGGGCTTATATATTTTGTGTGTTTTGTATCTGGAGTTCAGCAATGTGCAAGCATTATTTCCATTTAGTTATTTGATTCTCTTGTACATTTGCATTTCAGACAATACTGAAATGTCATAAAACAGACTGAAGAGCAATAGGAAATTTAAGACCATAGAGCTACAGGATTTAGTAATTCCTGTTTACAGCTAAATGCACATATTGCTTCAGTTAGTTTCCCTTTTCAGTGATAGTCACTATTTATAAAATAGATTTTTACGCTGTACATTATTCAATGAACATTCTTGTAAATCACAGGCACTCATGATTTACACTCACTCAGCTGAACGCAGAGAGAATTTAAGCTGTGTAACAAATATGCCACTGCAGTCTGCCAGCTCTGTAACTTGCTCAGACACATTACAGCCTGGGCAAAACAATTATCCTAAAAAAAGGAGCCAGGAAGTGACAGCTTTTACTAACCCTGCATTTGTCTGACACACTCCTTGATAAACTTGATAAAGCTGCCATAAAACATGTTTTTAACCTTTTTCAGGTCTGTCTGTTCAGCCCATAAAAAATATTAACATAACTGGAGAGATGGCATAGGAGTAAATAGCTGGTAGGCCAAAGCACCCTGAAAGGGCACAGTCCCAGAAAAGAGGTAAGACAGAAGCATCTGGTTAGAACTATACAATCTGGTGTTACGTAGAGGAAAGCAAAAGCATTTGGGAAATGTTGGCAGCTGCATGTTCAGAATATAACTGAATTAATGGAACATTTTTCATAGGCATCCAGGTTGGAAATGCAGATTTGCAAGGCAGCTTAGAGGGGAAAAAAAAAAAAAAAAAAAAAAAAGTGCTTTGCACTGCCAGAGTGACCTTTCTTCCAAGTTTATTTTCTAATACTACTTCTTGTTATTAAAGGATGGAATGTAGTTCTGTGTGTATGGGATTTCTTTGGTAAATGGGGCCTAGAGCCTATAAGAAACAAAAAAATGCAAGAAGCTTTTCTAAAGAAATGGTCCTTTGCATCATTTAACTAATCTCCAGCACCAGTTATTTAAAATCCAGGTCCAGCTACTGTTACGGATATGGGAAGCATATCGTGCCCAAGAATTAGACTGAGGAATAGCTTTCAAAGCAATCAACATTGATAAATGCCCAGTATTTTAAAACATGATAGAAGAAAACCTAAAAATGTAATATGCTCTCGTTTCACTGCACTCATCAGGATAAGTACAGATTAGGACACTGTCTACTGCAAATGCGCATTCTAGTAAAAGTTTAAGGCTAAGCCTAGGTTTCCTTTTTCCTCCCTCTCTCCCTTTTAAGGCTCTCCTACTGCTAACCACAACTCTGAAATAACACTTTGACTTGCAGGCTCGTGTTCGCCGCGCCAGCTCAGGACTCTGCCGCTGGAGATCCCTCTTTTCTGGTGAGTCACTGGGGGCAACCACAGCTTTAGCGCTTGAGGGATGGGCTTCCTTTTTCCATTTCCCGGTTATCTTTCTGCAGAGCAGCCAGTACCTACACATTTCAACATGTGAGAAAGAAGAAATAGATTTTTAAAATTAAAAGTGACTCAAAATTTTTTTTTGAGAAATTTCCTACTTAATTACTTCTAAACAATACCATTTTAATTATTAAAAGTAAATAAATCTAGAAAGCCTTTTCACTGAATGAAACCTCTCCCCTAAGTCCTTCGGGTATGGTAAGTTTGAATAGATTCAACAACATCAACAAAAAGTTTTTAGCAAACCTCTAGTACACACACACACACACACGCACTTCCAAATTTGGGTATTAGATTCTTTATTTCCTACCCAGGTTGCAGAAGTCTATCACTATAAAAAGGCAAAGTTAAAACTAGTAGGATAAATGAACTGCCTGGTAACAGTCTATCCCATTGACATCAGTGAGTTCCTGCCCCGTCAGGATTAACTAACCCACTGCGGAGGCTCCCGGGGCAGTGCCCGCGCCGCGGGGCTGCAGCCGCCCACCCGCCTGCCCAACAGCTTCCAGAATGCAGGAGACTCTTCAGCTAGATGCTCTGCAGAGAGGCCAGAGCAAATCAATGCCTGCTCAAATAAAGATGTCCACGAGTGTTTTAAGTGCTGTAGAGACAATGTTCTCAATGGAAAAAAAATAACCATTTTCAGGAACTTTGGAATGGCACTGAAATTTCCATCCAGGAAAGCCTAAGATGTAGACCTCGAGCAAGCTAAGACAGAGCTCATATTCCTTAGTCTGAAGGCTTGATGGAGTTAAGGTGTGAAGCAGGCGGGCTACAGAAATACGAAACCAGGAGCATGACCTGGTTTTGCCACCTGCATTACTTGACTGCTGAGGAAGCAGCGGGAATGACAACAGCCATTCAGCCCTCAGCCCACAAGCATGCTGGCACAAGAGCACAGAGCTCCTCGCTGGAAACTCTGCAGCAGCTGAACAGAACCTGCGGGCTTCCCGCTCGGAACTGAGGCCCTGCTACCAGAAGCACCATGACCATCATTTACCAGGACTCCTTTCAGTCTTCCCTGTCAAATTACCCCAGCAATCAAGGGAAAATAGAGTGAGGAGGACACATCAGCCTGCCTGACGAGGGAACAGGGAAGAGGGAAGCATATTTCAGTCCACAAGCAGCCTGCTGCACTCTAGATGAGGTCAGGCTCCAGCAGGCATCACCCCAGGACACCAGGAGCAAAACCACCACGGCAGAGCCAGGCGAGGCGCTCAGCCCCTGCCTGCTTGATGCCAACCCCTTCGGCGACGCACCGGCCGTGGCAGACACGGCTGGGGCAGAAGGCAACGCGGTCTCGGCCAGCACCCACCCTGCAGCAGCCGATCGCGTCGAGATCTCTCCTCAACAGCTCAGTGCCACCCTGCTGCCCTTACGCAAACCACATCCTCAAGAACACCAAGATAACGACTTTGGAACTGGTGATGTGCCCTGACAAATCGTTGTTGTTTCTCCAAAAAAGTAATTCCTGCTTTCAAATTTCAAATTTTGGTGCCACTAGCAGCTTTTGTAATTAATAATTAAAAAAAAAAAAAAAGTCGTATGATACTTGATCAACTCCTCCCTGCGCTTCCATTGGGGAATGGAGACTGAACTTTCCTTTTCCAGAGCAGAGAAGCCCAGGCAACCATCTCACCTGAGTGTATCCTGAAAGCATGGCAAAAGCTACACAGTCCTACCCAACTGCAAAATCACCCCTACCTCTGCTGACGTAGTCTTCCAGATGCTGCCAAACTGCCTTCTCATGGGTACCCTACAATCAACCCTTCACCTAACATTTGTTTACCTGAGCCCATTTTTTGTTTCTACTTTGCATCTGAATGGCAGCAATAGATGCGAAGAATTCTTCTGAAGGCAAATCTTCGGGTAGCTTTGTTAGAAACTGGGCTATGTGAATAAAGTCCATTTTGGTCAAAATATCTTCAAAAAGTTTCAATATTCCCAAGGCTGTTCGGAATAAGAACTCTTCCCCATCACGGCAGAACACATCCCAGACACGACATGCCAAGTCTAGTGGCAACGATTTGCTGTACAGTGTGAATATCCTGAAAAAGAGCAAGAATTTCGGTTATTGCATAAAAAATATCTAGAATGAGCAAGAAATCTGGGTTCATTGCCACAACATTCTAACAGCAAGTGCAGAGAGGAATAAAAATTACTGGAATCATGTTATAGTATAGTAGGAAAAGCAGTTACAGTGAATTTACCATTCAGAATTTAAAGATACAACATTTCACCACAGCTACAATGTACAGAGAAATATTTTCTGGCACTCTGAAAAACAGCAAATAATTCTTGCTCCAGTAGAGGTCAGCAAAACCTCTAACATAACTAAAACCTTCTTGCAACTTTTATCACACAAAAGGCTTTTTAAAGTATGAGGAACATAGCAGTATATCTCTTCTGTTGAGCATTTGTCTTCCCTTGCTTCCTCCCAGCCCCAACACTCCATATTGAGGAAACAGGGCTTAACAAAAAGTTACAGTGGGACAGCAATATATTTTAAATTATTTGAATGATGTATAATCGTATAACCAGCTTTCTGGTAAATCAGCATGCTTTAAAATATGAGAAAAATATCATCTTCATTTTACAAATCGTAAGTCAAAAACCATTTGCACAAAAACACATGACAAGAAAATTGCAGGTTTATAAACTTTGGGGCTTTTTTTTCCCCCTACATTTATATCTGATAACAGTATTTTTTAGAAGTAGGAATCATGAAAATTTCTGTTCTCCAAAAAAAATTATAAAGAGTAAACAGATATAGGGCAGAGTCTGGAATGAAAGAAAAAAAAGTGTCTTATATATGCAGAATAAGAACAGCATGACATAAGGCCCTTTTGCATTTCAAGGGACCATCTTGTTGCACCTTCAACTTTTTGTACAGCCACGTTCCATACTAAAATGCCTGTTAGAGAACACTTAGCAGAATTGAGACGTGTTGGCTACACATACGCACACAGAGGAAACAGCAATAGTTTCTGTATTTCAGCAGAACAATGTAATAGGAAGCAATTCAATTAAGTCCTTTCCTGGTCATAAGGTAACAGGGAAACACTCCACTATAAACAATTCCTGGTTAAAGATTAGTATCAGCACCTATTTTTTCTTCCCTCTTTTTTATTCACGAAAGCTACTCTGCTGTGATGATTCAGACCTAACCTCAATAACCCACATGTATTAAATCTGTAACGATACAGAAAATCAACTATCAGAGGAAATGTTCACATTATTTATTAGAGTTCTGCTCTTCTTTACAGGAAGAGAATTATTCACTTCAAAAAACTGTCACTTCAAACTGATCTTCTCATAATTTGCAAGGAGGATCAACCTGCAAATAACCTACAGGGTAATTACTTTCATCAATACTAGTGTAGAATTAATTGCATCAAGCTCTGGGAATGGAGATTTGTCCCA